ACTACATCACTGTATAACTGCCAAGTTACACCGCTATGTGGACTGTCAAACAGCTGAGATTTACGGCCTGGACAAATTCACACATATTCAGATATTGTCAGGGAGCCACAATTCATTCCATGACAAATTCACTAATAATTTTTTTTTTTATGCAAGCCTGAAGTGACGAAAGCACAAATAGCTGGGTTGGCGTGCCAATCCCATCATGCTCATGGCCTAATGAGCCCCCAAATACTGCGCCCTTTATCTTCCATCACAATGTCTTAGATAGAAATTAAGTACACATTGTAGTAGTGAAGTAAGTAACCCAATTTGACTCCAATTCTTTCCCCTTATCTCCAAGACTGGCTTAAGTCCCACCCAAACTGACCCAATGGTACTGCCTTCCAGCTCCAACTGCCCCTCCCATAGCCCATCCACCCACGTACACACACACACACACACACACACACACACACACACGCACACGCACACGTGCACGTATGCACACACACTCTTTATGACTGAATTGACAGCCAAGTGTCCCAGTGAAGGCTGACTGTGCTGACTGACTTTTTTTCTACATGATACGTTTAACCATACCTTTCTTATTAGAGGGACATTTCGTCACAGATTATTAAAATAAAACAATGCTTGTTAAAACAATGAGGAAAAGATGCTCTCTGTAATGTCTTGTATTTTACTTTCTGTAGACTTGCCAAATAGCAGGATTCTATGATGTTCCCTGTCACCACAGAGAATGAATAACTTTTATGCTGGGTGGAAAAGCGTCCTAAAAATGAAACCTCATGCTTGGGATGCACTCACGGTCCTCAAAGTGCTTTCACATGCTCATGTCATTTGGAGCTAGCCAACAATCGAAATTAAGATCAGTCGAGTCTTGCAGTAGAGACACAAGGACTCTGCGGGTGTGAGCAACATAAACCAAGGTCACACAGCAGGTTGGGAGCACACACAATGGTAGAAAAGTAGCCCAATGGGCAGCAATCGGAGAGGAGGGAGACCCTTGGTTTTCCCTCTGGTCCTGAATCTAATGAGATATGCCGCTTTGGGCAAGCCTCCTCGCTGCTCTTCTTATCAGTTTCTTCCTTTGCAAACGAGAAGGTGAAGCGAAGGACCCACCCAGCTCGATCCTCTGAAAATATAGACTCTGACCTGTACTTTCTGAGCCCTTTCCACTCTCAGGCCAAGTTAAGGCATTGCGTAGAATTCATGCTCTGCTGTCACCGAAGAGACCAATGCATCTCATTTCTCAATTTCCCATTCCTCGCTTTGAAAGACAACAAATTGTATACAAATGGCTTCAGTACCTGTCCAAGGTGAGATTTGTCAGGCGCCTTACTAGGCAGTCCACTAGTCCATCGCTAGCTTGCCAGGCTGTGATAGTCCCCAGTTCATGGTGAGTCCGAGCACCATGGAAAAAGCACCGTCCTCTTCTGCCCCGTCGCCAAGAGCTGCTGCAGACAAATAAGCACCTCCATCAAGAACCCAGGTGATATTCATGAAAGCTTCCCCTGTGATGCCTGGATACAATACGAACTCCTGAACAGTGAGTCTCCTCCCTTGTTCCCTTTGTAACAGAGTACACGTACCTTCATAAAAGGAATAAGGAAGTCTTTCCATTCTATTTCAAGATACTTTCTTCTTTAATATTATAATCTGGAAGCCTTCCACATTAGGTAGAAAATCAAGGACACAGTTTAACTAAAAATAGAGATGATAAATCAGCACCATTCTGTTTCTGTAGGAGAATTAAATTATTTTGAAGCAAGCATCCAAACTGGTATCTTAAATTTTTTCATTAAAAGGCAATCCCGGTCCATTAAGTTCATTTAAACACTTTGAGGTTTACACTTAGAACAAATGTTTTTAATTTCATTATACACTATTAAACCAACCAAGTCATTGTTTGTGCAAACTCAACCTCCATATCTTACAAATGTCCTTTTTCCCTACTGTCTAACTCTATTTAAATTTCAGTATTTTCCCTTTTGTCTTCTTTTTTTCTGCTTGCCTTTATTGTTCCTTAAACCAAGCAGAGAACATCTGAAATACTCCCAATCGTGGACTTAAGCCTGTTTGATCCCAGTGATTGCTTTTCAAATATTAAAGTCAGAATGTAAACCAGGAGATTGTCCAGGGGTAGGAATAGAAAAGCGTGCTTGCTACATGCCATTGCCATGAAAGAACAGAGAAAATGCGGAACTATTATTTATCTCATGCTCTAAATAATTTTGCAAGCATGTCAACCTGCTGAGTTAATAGTCTATTTCGCTTACTAAACCCCAGTAGTGACAATGACTACATATGGTCACATATAATTCAAAAATGCAAGAACTTCAACACAAGACACGTATCATTCTATATGAAGAGATGCGGTAACTGATACCGCCCATTTGAAATTCAGGTGTGAACCATAAAGTGCTTACGGCATTTAAAATGGCAGGAAGTGAGCCTGGGTCACACTCGTTAGGGGCACCGAGGGCAAGGAGAAGTGCCAGCTGACATGCTATCAACCGCATAAGGAAGAAGGGTAATCACAAAAGCTGGCCTGAGGCATATAAAATGCCAGCGCTCACTATCAGTAAAGGCACTGTGTCCCACGGGTATGATAGGCCCCAGGGATGATGACAATGTGTGTATAAGCCAACAGAAGAAAACACAGTGATTGCAAGTTTTCCTCAAAGGATCAGGAACTGGAAAATCAGAAGGGCGTGGGATTAGCTGAGCCACTAAGGACAAGACGTTTAATTTTTCAAAGCCACACTTTATTTCCAAAACAAACTTAATAATTTCCTTCATCCCTGACTAGTCCACAGGGCATGGAAGGGGTCAACAGTGAAAGTTAGTTTTCGCACCTTGTTCCCGCCCCTCTCTTCCCTTTGTGGTCATGATCCCTACAAGGTCCTGTTTCCTTCTTAACTTTCTACACTAGTGCGGCATCACTTCCCGGATCTCCACGTTTTAGAGCTCCTTCGAAGTCAGTGCTCATCCTTTTTCTCATCTCTATCTCCATATTCTGCAATGTAATCAACCCCAAGACTATAACTATGAACCATGGCCAGATTTAGGCCACCCACCCAAACTTCCCTTTTTAAATCCACCCTTAAAAGTTGACATCTTCACTTCATGTCCAATAGACATCTCAAACTTTATGCGGCCAATAGATCGCTTGGCATCCAATCTCTCCCTCCGCCAGTCTTCCCTATGTTGGTAAATGGCATCAACTCCGGTGCTCTGAAATTTTGGGAACTACCTTGATTCTTCTCTTTTGTCAGTTCTTACATCCAATCCCTTAGCAAGAACTGACAACTTTACCTATAAAGTTAATGTCAAATATGTCCAGTTCTCCTGGTGAAATTATCTGATCCCTTAAAAATGCATGGCCCCTCTGAGTGGGAACTGACATGATCACAGTGGCCTTGGGGTCGCTCCACATCCACTGCCACTACCATGGTCCAAGTTACCACCAGCGTTCATCTTCAGGGCTATTGTCTACCCGGAACAAGTTACATAATGTTCCTACTTGGTCCTGCTGTAGCTGCGGTGCGCCATTGAGCCAATTCTGACTTATAGTGACCCCAAAGGATGGATTCGAACTGCCCCCTAGGGTTTCCTAGGCTACAATATTTAAGGGACAAGAACATTGAAGTCTTTTGTCCCAGAGGGTGGCTGATTAGTTTGAAGTGCCAACTTTTCAGTTAGTAGACACTTTAATTATAGTGCTAACCGGGATTGTAATGACATATAAATAACTGATATATATACAAAAGATAACATTTTTATTTTAAAATTATGGCAAACCACCACCCTACCCCTCCCCCAAAATGGGGGGGGTATGCATATGATTTTTAAAAAATCAACAAAAGCCAGGAAGATAGGCAAAGATCTACTCCCTAGATAGCCTCTTACAAATGAAATGGAATAAGAATGAAGGACAAGATGAACTTTGCTTTTAGTTATAATATGTTCTTCCTTTATTGATAAGCAGAAGACTTTGAAGTGAATATATCAGTTTACTAAAATGTCAACGTTGCTTGGATATTTTTATATTGTTTCTACACATTTCTCCTAATTGTCTTAAAATAAAAAGATAACACAGAGAATGGCAGGATAAAATTAAGAAAAAAATATATATATATAAATATCACAGAGTAGGGGAAAAAAGTATTTAAAATGTACATATAAATTATCCTGGACAGAAATAGCTGTTAATATATTTCAATTTCATGAATAAGAAGGGGGCAAAAGTCTTGCTCTGCTGCTGATTTTAATTGGAAAGTTTATATTTGTCTCCACACTGTACAATTATTTGAAAATTTAAATCAGTTGATGCACCTTAAAACATTTCAATGACTTCCCATCCCATTTAGATCCAAACCCAAATTCATTATCCCAGCAAAGAGAGGCTTACCTGATCTGACCTCTAGCTACCTCTCCAACTTCCTCTAATTGTATAGATTGCAGTCATGCACTCCCATCTGCTTTCCAAGTCCTTTCCTCTACGAAGCCCCTTACCTGGTGCCTCCTGCTTCCTCGCCCTGGATTACTCTTTCCTCAGAACTGAGCTTGGCTGGATTCTTCTTGTCATGCAAATTCTCTTCAAATATGAAACCCCATTGTAAGTCTCTACACACATTTACCACTGTTCTGATATTGAGGCCAGAGGCCGTATTGCATGCCCAGCCCCAAGAACTATACTGGGTACAGAAGTTTCCTAATGCTGCATAACAGAGAAAGCCATAATTTCAGCAGCTTAAAACAATGTGTAATTGTTAGTGTGCAGTTTCTCTAGGTTAGAAGTCCAGGCACAGCATGACTGGGTTGTGTAATGAGGGTTTTAAAAGGCTAACATCAAGGTGTCAGCTGGGTAATTTGTGTCAGGAGGCTCTGGGGGAAAGTTGGCTTCCAAGCTCATTCAAATTGCTGGAAAAATCCAGTTGCTTGTGTCTATTGGACTGAGGCACACAGTTCTTTCTTTTCTTTTCTTTTCCTTTTTTCACTGTTCAACCCGCTTCAGTGCCTGAAGCCCACGGGGTCAGCCTGCAATGGTTCGGGGTTACAGTTTGCTTTGGCATGGGACACGATGAGAGGCGCATGGGACCGACCGGACCTGCCATCAATCCAAACCCATGCACAGTTATTCTTCTCTTCGAGAGGCACCCTCATTCCTTCTCACGTGGTCCCCTCTATCTTCACGTTCACAATCATGCCAATCATGCATCAAATCTCTCTGGCGCTCTGAATCTTTAGCTTCCTCTGCTACAACCAACCACAGACTGTCTTCTTTTCTTTTATTTTAAAAAAAATCATTTTATTGGGGGCTCATGCAACTCTTATCACAATCTATACATCCATCCATTGTGTCAAACACATTTGTACATTTGTTACCCCTAGCATTCACAAAACATTTGCTTTCTACTTGAGCCCTTGTATCAGACTTTCTTCTTTTCAATGACCCTTGTGATTAGTTAAGGTAAACCCAGATGATAGCTATAATTCAAATAAACTTTTCTATAGAGCAAAATCCTGGTGGCGTGGTAGTTACACTTTAGGCCGTGAACCACAAGGTCAACAGTTTGAAATCACCAGCCTCTCCATGGGAAAAAGGGAGGGGGGCACATTCTATTCATTTAAAGAGTGACAGTCTCAGAAACTCACAGGGTCAGTTCTATCCGGTTCTATAGACTCGCTGGGAGTTGGCATCCACTCTGTGGCAGTGAGATTGGTTGCGATCCAATTGTGCATTAAACACTCACCATACCCACAGCCCTAGTGTTAGGCAGGGCAAGTATGAGGGGACAGAAAATCTTGCGGGCTCTCTGAGGATTTTGCTTCTTATAGAGGGTATTTTATAAATATTGGATGAAGAAACGATGAATGTGGTGATTTTCAACTATAAATAACTTCACAGATATTAGCATCAAAGTAACTAGGAATCATAAAGATGTCCTGTGACATCATCTGAAGCTTAATGGAGGCATCATTTTGCACGGTTAAGAAGAGAAACCATAAAAGCAAAGTTATTTTTTCTTGGAAGTTTAGGGGCTCAGAAAGATAAACCATAATTAGCTTACAAAGGCAGCATAAAGAAATGAAAGAAAGAGTGTTTTGAGAGTTAGCCAAAGCTAACTTTCCACTATGGCTTCTGCTTATTCCTTTCCTCACACAAGGGCCATCTGAGTGAGCTTCAATTGAAAACCATTAGGCATGCACCTTACAGTCCTCCTTTTAATTTCTTAATCTTAAAAAGAGAAAGAAATCCCTTTAAAAGGCCCCTATTTTTCTGTAGTGAATGATAAGAAGAAGAAGCTGTGTTGCCATGGTTAAACTCTCAGCACCCTCAGCGCCTGTGTTGTTAGCAGTCATCCAGCCTGTCCTGACCCACCGCCACCCTGTGCACCGTGAAATGAAACACTGCCAGCCCTGGGTCATCCTCACCATCCTCCCTATACCTGAGCCCATTGTTGCAGCCGCTTGTTAAGGGCCTACCTCTTTTTCACTGCCTCTCTAATTTACCAAGCATGCGGCCTTCCTCCTGGGACTGCTCCCTCCAGACATGTCCAAAGTAAGTGACAGTAACTCTGGCCACCCTGACCTCCAAGGAATTCTGGGTATACGTCTTCCAAACAGGTCTGTTTACTCTTAGCAGTCCGTGGAATGTTCCATGTTTTCTGTCAGCACCACAATGCAAATGCATCTGCCCTTCTTCAGGCTTCCTTATTCAATGTCCAACTTTCACATGCAGATGTGGCAACAGAAAAAACTATGGCTTGGGTCAGGTGTCCCGAAGTCCCCAAAGGAACAGCCTTGCTCTCCAATACTTTAAAGGGGGTCTTGTGCTGTAGATTGACTTAATGTAATACATCTTTTGGACTCTTGACTGCTGCTTCCACAAGCACTGGTTGTGGATCCAAGGAAGACAAAGTCCTTGATCGCTTCAACCTTTTCTCCATTCATCATGTTGGTACCTATTGGTCTAGTGGAGAGGACTTTGATCTTCTTTGAATTGAATGGTGATCCACACTGAAGGCTGCAATCCTTGATCTTCATCAGCAAATCCTTCAAGTCCTCCTCACTCTCAGCAAGCAAGGTTATGTCATCTGCATATCACAGGTTGTTAATCAGCCTTCCCCCAATCCTAAAGCCCTATTCTTCTTTATATAATCCAGCTTCTCTGGTGATTTGTTCAGCATACAAATTGAAAAAGTATGGGGAGAAAATACAACTTGTATGTGAGTTTCTCACACATGCAGTACCTAATACATTATTTGGGGCATCTGTAGCTGTTTGATGATTATCTGCCATCAGTCTGGGGGAGTCAACTACAGAATTATGATTCACAATTTTCTTCAACGGGGCAAAGTTGTACAATGGAGTTTCAGAGGAGGTTGTAGGGAAGTCAAAGAATATGTTGTAATGTCAGGGAATTAACCAAAAACATATCCAATCATCATCCTTCCAAATTACTGTATAAACCGACCTGAATATCAGCCGAGGCACCTAATTTTACCACAAAAACGGCATTAAAATGTGCTGAAAAACTCAGCTTATACACGAGTATATACGGTATACCACACTGAAAACTTTCTTTGGTAGCTCATCCAATGCAGCCAAATTTTTTGTGTTGTTTTGTTTCTTTTCAGGGTTGAGAAAATAATCTTATTTCTTTAGCTGAGTATCATGCAAGATCATGGACTAAGATTCAACGGGAACATTTTATTTTAAACCCCATAGAGTGCTAAAAGGACAATCTGATCTGTCTTGGAAGAAGTAAGGCCAAGAATGCTCCTTAGAGGCAAAGATAGCAAGACTTCATCTTACATACGTGAGACATGTTGCCAAGAGAGACCAGTCCCTGGGAAAGGACATCATGTGTGTTAAAGTGGAAAGGCAGTGAAAAATAGAAAGACCCTGGATGAGATGGAGGGACACGGTGGCTGCATCCATGGGCTCAGGCATAGGAACGATTGTGAGGATGGCACAGGACCAGGAGTGTTTCCTTCTGCTCTGAGTAGGGTCGCTGTGGGTTGGAACCAACTCGAGGGTACCTAATAGCAACATCTTTAGATACTGTAAACTCAGTGCAGCTAAGCATATCCATTACCAAAGGAAATAGTACAGTGGATACAAATCCCAGACTGCCACTTAATCACTTGGGAACATTGGACAAGTCACTCAATCTATCTGAGCCTGTTTTTCATTTGCGAAATGGAAACAATAATTCACCACAGGGATGATGTGAAAATTAAATGAGTAAATATAACTCCTCCTCACATGTTGACCATCCCATTATCTAAATTTTGCATTTATAACAACTGTGAAAAATCTCCTCTCTGACTCTGCTGCACAGGGATGGACATTTGGCTGGCAGTAGTGGATGCACCTTGGGCTGCAATGGTCAAGGTCATGTATCTGTCTGGCTGTGCGCTCATGCTCTGTGGTTTGGCAGGTAAGCCTACATTGGGCAATTACGTAGTGACTGACAGGGAAGCCTACATTGGGCAATTATGTAGTGATTGACAGGTAAGCCTACATTTGGCAGTTTTGTAGTGAGAAGAGAGTGTTCAGTCCTTGATCTAGATCGGCTCCCAGTGAAATGAGAGAGGGATGTGTGTTAGGCCAGGTTACCTAAAAACAAATCTAGTGGCATACATCATTGTATAATAAAAAGCTTTATATCAGCAAATTATCTTATAGCCCAGTGCAATCCAACTCCAGTCCATATGCCTGACACAAGCCAGGGCCCTCTTTAGATGCATGTAGCTGCAAGCTGGTGAAGAAGAAAGGTCATGAGGAATGCCACAGGCTGGTGCATGGGAGTCACGTGGATCTGAGGTCAGCGGAAACACGGCAGAATGCTGACAGCTCTCCAGGCTGGGCAGCTCACCTAGAGCCACCCTTGCAGGCAGAGACCCAGCAGGCAGAAGGGCAGAGAGAGAGAAGGAGTTTCCCAGGGTCTCTCACTCTGATAAGAAGGCTACACCCCCAAGTAGGCATCTTCAAGCCATTGAGCTACCACTTGATTGATAGGTTGAACCCTGTTCCCGGCCAGGAGTGTATAGTTGACATACCATCTGACTACCAAAGGAAGGAAGGATTGGTCAGGAAGAGCCTCAGACCACAGCACAGGTCTGAGAAAATCATAGCCAGGCGAATGGGAAGTATTCAACAACACACCATTGAGCATGTCCTGTGTTGAAAGTGAGTTGTTGCAGATGCAGTTCGGTTAAAATTTAGCACCCTATCTTTTTATCTCCCTTATGAATCATTTACATTTATTCTAGTTTTTAATATTTTCTGCTTTCTTTTGAATTGAAAGTTTTATTTGTTTTACTTTTGTTATTGAAGTTAGTTCATTTTGGTTTTTTTTTCTTTTCTTTAATGTCTTTTCTGTAAATGAAATCCAGGATAGGTAAATGTAGAGAGACAGGATGGTCCCTTGGGGGTATGGCAGAGAAGGTTGGGGGGAAATGGGAAGTTAATAATGATGAATACAAGCGTGAAGAAAATGTTCTAAAACTGATGGTGGTGATGATTGTACAAGTGTTCTTGATGGGATTAAATTATTGGATAGCATGATACGTAAATCATATACCAGTAAGACTGTTTGAAAAATAAAAAGTTATGTGCTGGGAAGAAGACACCCGATTGTTGAGATTGGTCCTGCTTAGACACTGGCTAGGAGCAGCCCCTGGGAAGGACTGCCATGGGACGAATGCAGCAGACATGTAATGTGGCAGAAATCACCACCTGAGTTCCTCACAGCAGGTTTTGAGGGAGATCCGATTGGATCACCTCCATGGCTGCCGCAGGCTCTGTGACGTCACGGATGTAGGTTAAATGCTACAGCATGGGAACAACTCTGAGGATGGTACAGAATCACCCTGGGGTGAGTGACGTCAGTGTGCCCTGACCTTCTCTTCCTCCTAATGATGCCATTATTTATTCAATCATTGCTTCAACCTGCCGTTATTGAGTCCAGAGTGTATGTGTATTAGAGCAGAGCTCGTCCTGGCTATGTACCATGACCCTTTCCAACAATCAGTATCTACTCTCATATTAATTTACAATACTTGTATTAGCCTACTCAAATCACTTGGAAGCTAAGTGAAAGAACAAAGAAAGTTAACATT